TGTGTGACACATTGAATGAGTGTGAAAGACTCAGCTATCCCCACACACACACACACACACACACACACACACACACACACACACACACACACACACACACACACACACACACACACACACTGTGACCTTCAGTACGTGTGAAACACCTAGCTACAGTCCTGCCAGGTTGTTTAACAACTGCATGGTTACCTATGGCTTTTGCGAAACTGTTAATTTATCCATTATCCACATACAAGTACAAAACTGCCACCAAATTATGATGTGAACCAGCAGTGACACATTCAGTATGTGGCCATGTTGCTCCAGCACTATCCCGTTTTACACAACTTTGAAAAGCTGCATTATCACACAATGGACTGGGCATTTAGTAGCTACAATGTCCTGTCTTGACTTGCTCCTTGCCAGTGACAGGTCATCTTCTTTACTGTTCTTGCAGCTGTCACAATGGATGAGAAAATACTTCTTGTTGAGACAGAGAAATACCAGGAGCTCTGTGACCTGTCCTGTCACAAAAAATATGCCTGGTGAGCCACAGCTGTGGACACTGGATTTTGAAATGAAGCCTGGGGAATCACATGACACGGCTGCGTTGGACATTTTGCACTTTAGGGTATAATTTTGGCTACAGCTCAAGAAAAGTATGTTTACGGACATAGACAAGGAGATTTTCTCAGGCTTTTTAAAATATTTGTGTACAATGCTGCAAAAATAACATCTCCGGTTTATTTCCTGCATGGTTTTAGTTAAATTAGTTCACTTAAGAGGAATAAATCAATTAACATGCAATGCAAACAACTAATGATTATTCTAATTGTCAAGTAATTGTTTAATAATTTATGTCTATATGACTATAAAATGTCACAAAATAGTTAAAAATAGATTGTAACATGTTCCCATGTGACATTTTTGCATGATAAATCATTTAAACTATTATCAAAATAGTTGGCAAGTTATTTTCTGACAATTAAGCGGATCACCTTTTTACAACGAATGAGAGAGATTTGTAATGTTGTAAAGACATGTAATTCTGCCATGAATTTTCTACTTACTTATGTTAATGTTCATGTTCTGTCTAATCTCTAATGTCACCCATTACATTTTGTGTCCGGACAAGTTGTTCTCTTCCAGCACACAAAAAAGGACACAAATGAGATTTATGACTGCTCCATGCCCGCAAAATCTGACTAATTCTGATATATATGATGTAATAAAGCATGACCAAAGTATAAATGGCACTTTTAGCATTGAATGAAGTTAAATATGCCACACCAAGATTTATTTGTTTACAAGGAAATTTAAAAAGAAGGAAGGGTCATTGTGTCATAATGCTCTGCTTGGTGCCTGACTTCGGTGCCAGTTCTATTGAACCCTATGGGAGACGAATGGAGAAGGACACAAAAATGCAATATATCTACATTGTATAACCTTTGATGAAGAAATGCCTTTCTATTAATTTAGTATACGTATATCACAGTTTAGCTAACTTACTAGCTTAGTCTAACCTCAGTCACATATGTATAAGAAGCTCCAGTCCATTAACGTAACTTACATGTAAATACCTTACAAAGTTTACTGTGAAAACTCATAACACATTACCTAAATAACAACACAACAACATGCCGGTGCCTCCACCACCCGGACTGATTAACTGTAAAACCCGGACTGATTAACTGTAAAACTGAGAGAGGAGAGATGAAGGAGTGGTCTGCCCATTCACCACTACGTTAACTGCACCGAGAGCTTTCAAGTGTGGCACCAATGTGCATTCATGTGATTTGCAGTGATGTAATGGCCCTTCCTTCTTTTTTAGTTTCCTTGAGACTGTACAAGAACAGGATCCAGAATTTCTTTTTCGAGCCAAAGAATTATGTCACCCTGGAGAGAACAATGTGCATGATGCAACCATGGTAACACTGTCACTGAAACTGGAGAAGGGACAGAACGGATGCTCTCATATGAATCTGTACTCGCAGGGAAGGGGGGAAAAAAAATCACATTAAACCAGTTAAATGAACAAAACAAATGGGATAAATTTATCCTCTGAGAGACCAGTTTGGAACTGTTTCATGCAGCTTGTGTGAACCTACAGTACAGAACGTGCCGTGACGAAGAGGATAATGTTTCTGTCTGTTCCTTGCTCCCTCCTCTCTGCTTCTCTAAAATCCTGCAAAGGTTCCCTTACATGGATTTGGTGGTTTTAAGAAAATGTAGCACAAAATATATGACATTACAAGTGTGTAGTTTCTGCTTAAACACCCTGTGTTTCAAGACCTGGCGGCTAAAAAACATTTGCAGCTTGAACTCAAGTTACAACAGAATTATGACTAAAAATAACTAAAGTCTTTCCTTAAAACTGTTGAAACCGTTCAAAAAACTGCTGAAGTAGAGCTATTGATTCATCTGCCCATTATTCTCATGATTAATAAATTCATTGTTGGGTCTAAAAAAGAATAAATCTGTATCATCTATTTGCTAAAGCTTAGTAAGTACCAAACAATCAATGATTTGTGAAAGTAACCTAAATAAATTGCTTTTGCGTTGAGCTATTACCCTCTTTGAGGCTCCAAAGCTCCTCTAAAAAGCACATTTCTGGTCATATTTTGGCAAAAATATAAAATTAAAACAAACTCAAATAGCCTCTGCATCACCTTCTTCAGCATCATAAGTGCCTTCACCACTACAGACAACACCAAGATATCACAATCATTGCCGCTGTAATCGTCATCATCCTCAATGATATTACAATTCATCCTCATCATCGTAACACACACTGCAGATGTACTGGTATCTCTGTCCCCCTTCCCTCAATGGGTCTCTTTCCCTTGGCCCATCACCATGACGATGAGAGCCGGTTCCTTGGATACAGTAACTAGGCAACCAGCAGCATCAGCACCAGTACCAGCAGCAGCAGCGTCCTGTCAGATCTATAGTGGAGCAGCAGAGAGACTGAGCCAACCTTTCATATCTCGCTGCATGTAAGTTTGCTCCTTGAGGAGAAAATGTTAATGCATTTGTTGTGTTTTGGATCTGAAGCCTCTTACATTACACTCAGCACTGGAGGTGCTTACTGTAATGTAGACTGACATAAAATGACTTCTGGTGAACACATCTAGATTAGATTAAAATGGGTACAGTGTGCGTAAAATGGAAAGCCTAACTATCTGGTTAAAGACTGATGCAGCTGTGTGAGAAAAAATATGTACATATCAACATTATTACACCATGATAACTGTCTCAAATGGATACTGTTTTCTCTCACTGGATCTCTCACTTTTATTCCCCATAAAAGAGAACTACCAACATTAAGCTCCACCCAAACATTACAACAATAAATACCTGCTACTAACAGCTGGCAGGACAGCAGTGTAAAAATGCCCTATTAAAAGTAAAAATCCTTCATTCAAACTCATAAAGTAAAGTTATAGTAGTATCATCAGTAAAATGTAATTAAAGTATAAAGTAATAGAAATTGGTATGCCAAATGGTGTTACTGTATATAGACTTTTTATCAATAATGTATAATTGTGTAAGCAGGATTTTTATTGTACTTGGTCCAGGTGAAGCTGATTTGAACTACTTTATAAAGTCTTGAGTCCTTAAACATTTAAACCACCTTGATTAAAATATGTTTAGGAACGAGAGAAAAAGGCACCATAGCTGCACTATAATTATGTAAAAAGTCACTTTGAAAATTCTTGAAACAAGTTTAATCTCTGAATAAATGACTTGATAAGACACATTTTAACCACATATGTCAGATAAATGTACTGAAGTACACTACTTGAGTAAATGTATTTGATTACATTGCCACTGAAATGTAGTGTTGTCTGTGTATGAAGTCTGCAGAATTTAGCATGGACTGCTGTGATCCCTAATGTCAAAGAAATTGACAGATACTGAAAACACATAATGGTCTCTTCACAAAAATGATACAAAATAAGGCTATTAGCAATGGCCGCAAACCCATGCTGAAAAGAAAATGTATTAATAGAACCCATCTTAGAGGCAACACAGACAGAGACGCTTTGAAATATGTTGCATTGAAGACTGTAATTAAATATTCCTTTTGATTTGAAGAAGCCCTTTTTGCATGTTGCTTTAGTGCCCTAGCTGCAAGTCAGAGAGACATACAGTATGTGTGCTGCTTAGTGATAAGCTGGACACAAGCTATCACAGCACAGACCTACAAAAATTATGATCCAGACAATAAAACAGTTTAACCTCATACAGGTGTATAACAGTAATAAACCATCTAGCAAGCCTTTGTCATTACAAGCTTGTAACAAGCATGACTGATACAGCTAAATAATGGGCGAGATAGCCTAATAAGCTACAATACCTCAGGCTGGTGGATTTAACAGGTGTGTGTGTGTGTGATAATGTCTTATTTGAAAGCATGAAGCTATCATGGAAGAACGGCTGGGAGCTTCAAGGCAGAAGGGTATATGACACTGCATCATATATCATCCTCTCTCTCTCTCTCACACACATATGCACACAATACACACACACACACACACACACACACACACACACCCCTCTACTCCTGCAGTCATGGCTGTTTCATTAGCTCATCACAGAGCAGGAAAGGCCTGTGGATGAGGGTCTATGAAAGGATTAAGGGACAATTTATCTTAAAATAATGATCAGATGCAGTACACAGTGCCAGGTCGTTTTGCTCAGTAGCAATACTGATGCAAATATTAAGTAATGCCATTAAATGTGTGGCATGACACTAGCATAATTATAAACGTATGGTCATGACAATACATGAGAAAACGATGTTATTAACCTTAGAATAAAATGTAGAAGCATATGATACATATGCCACCAAATTTATAGGACAAAAAAAGGCATTTTGTGCAATAAGGTCACTATGACAACCACATAGCCCTTACGATATCGATATGAATGTGATTATTCATTAAGGGATGCCCATCATTAACACAGACTGAATGACATTTACTGCAGGGGTAGGCTATGTGTCAATGTTGCCTTACGTTGTAAAGTAGAGTAGTTATCCATCGGTCAGGCTGCTGGTGGCGGATCCTGTTTTTCTTTTGTTTTCTTTTTTAAATCACTCTGGTGGCCCCTATGGACACCGCAGCACCGGACAGGATCAGTCTACCGGGACGAACCGAGCCGGTGTGAAACCAGGACAGGTACCCGCACTACCAGCTGCATCTTTAGTACCCCCGGGTCTAGAAAACGGAGGAGATGAGCACATAAACCCGTGTAGTGAGACTCATTTCAGGATCATTCGGTAAGGTTTATATCCAAGTCGGTTGGATCAGTCAGATCTCTCGGTAGGTTTCCTTACAAGATGCCTCGCTCCGCCTTCATGGGAAAAAAAAAGAAAAAAGAAAGATGCCAATACGCGGGCACACCGGTAAAGAGAAAGGTCAGTGTGCGGTTATGAAAATTACACCGAATGAACGGATCCGTGACCGAGTCTCTGAGCGGTGCCCTTCTTCTTTTTCTTCTTCTCCGTAACCGTAAACCCCGCTGCAGGGAAAACACATTCAGCAAGAGCGTCTCCTCCCATCTATCCCCCGTAGAGAGAGCGAGAGAGAGAGGAAGAGAGAGAGAGAAGAGAGGAAGAGAGAGAGATGATGGAAGATGGAACGAGGGTGCCAGAGTAGGTGCGTTTGCGCTTGCGCATAAGGCGCGCGTCTGTATTGTAGCCCTAATTGTATGAGTGTGTGAGGGAAAGAATGGAAGTCGTCTTTTATCTCATCGTGTCACCACACACACACACGCACGCACACACACACACACACACACACACTTGACTTGGAGCTTGTCCCTTGTTGCCATGCTGCCTCTATCTTTTTTCTGTGAGAAAAATTTTTCTTCTGTGGACAAAAATAAACCAGTGTTGTTAAAAGATGATTTTAAGTTACTTGTTTTGTGTGTGTTTATGAGGGTGTTGGATATTTTCTTACACTATTTTGTTTTTAAACGCAATATATCATGCATATACAGGCTACTACAAACGATTATTTTCTTAGTAGATTAATCAATTGATTAATTTGTCGACTGACACGTTTGGTATTTATTATCAGATCCTATGTACTAGATGATATTATCAAATATTTAGTTTTGTGCAACCAACAGTCCAAAACCCCAAATATTTAATTTACTATAACGTTAAGATAATGAGAAGCCACCCATTTTAACAAGTGAGAACACAAAAAGCAAGCTACTGTTGTGCCTTATCTTATTTGACAATCTCTTGTTAAAGTGGTTTGGGAGTGTTATAAACAAACAAGAAGGCAAAATGCACTGTTAAAAAATATCACATGTTGGACAGCGATTTAGCATTGTGGAAAATGCAAAGTTAAAATCAAAGCCCAAGAGAACAAGATATCATGACTTATAGTTCCTATGAGTCCGGCTCCAAAAATACAAGATCCCATACTTCTCATTATCTCATGATGCATTTTTGAAGAAATCCGACTTGGTCCTAAATAAATCCTAAATGCCTAAAAACTTGACACAAGTCTCACGTCAGCTAAAGTCTGCAAGTCAATGAATTTAATGAATATGGTGTTACACTGCCAATGCACAGTACTTTTTTACCCTCACAAATATGCTTGGTCGATCCCCTAGCTAAGATAACCATAATGACTTCATTATGTTTATTTTATCAGACATCCTCCAGAGCCACAGAAAACAGTATACAACTGTTTGTACAGGACCAGTACTCATAATGAAAAGTAAACTGACCGTCATGTGTAATATCGGTGGAGCATCCCTTTTAGTGTTAAATTTTATTCCACAAAAAACATGATCACAGCTTTTGGGACAATCCAGCCAACTCATTACATAAAACCTTCCGATCTAACCAGCAATAACAGCAGTAACATGTTCAGGTGATCAGATGTGTATTTGGTAGTCAGTTTGCAAAAAATCACCAACATTTTCAGCAACTGTCCCTACTGCCAAAGACTCAAAGTATTTGGCCTAAAATGTCTACCCCCTCCGCTTCATCCTCTTCTTGACCAACACTTTAGCTTCCAAAATTAAATCTGAATCTGAAAGTTAACAGTGCCATCTATCAAAGATGATGTTCACAGTGTCGTTGAAGCTTTAGCTTTCTAGCTAGCTCAATATTTGGGACTACTGTTGATAGATGGCCATGATCACCAGATGACTGACTTGGTGAACATGGAAAACTACTAAATTTCCTCACTTATATAAGCGCTACACACTAAATTATTGCACCCATCTGTAAATTTAGATGTCTCTTGAAAATGTATGATGGCAGTGCAGAGACTGACGACGAGTTTCACATAAAAAGTTGTTGAGAAATTCTAATCATTGACGAGGAGAAGGTTATGACTACATACTTGTGATTGTAGCTGAACTGCAGAGGACCCCTGTTGGTTTTGAGAAGGAGGTTGTCAATGCTAAGTGAACAGCCTTGCCCAGAGCATAGATCTCAAAGCATGGCAAATTGTTGCTCATAGTCAGTAGCCTACCGAGAGGGCTGCTGTTTTATGACTGCCTGAGCCCAATCAGCTCATCCACAGCCAGCATGAGGCCAATTAAATTCTATTGGTTTGTAAAGCAAAATCCACTTCATCTTCAGTCTTGGCAACTAAGTATGAGCAGGTTGGCAATAAATTATCAAATTAACGTCTTGTTAATCTATGTGCAGAACTTTCGTGCTAGTTTGACAGGAACTGTTTATCTCCTGAACTCAAAGGTATGATCTCACATGTAACTGGTTGCCTGCATTCTTTCATCACAGCTACACATTTCAGGTATGTCAGCAAATATTAGCAATCCTATCGCCAGATAAGAACATCGATATTGAACTCCACAATCCACCCAATGACAACATTTTACCTATCACACTTTTTACAACATGCACATGATGACTACTATGGTAAGGTTAGCGAAAAAAATAAAATTAATAAAATAAATTATTGTTAAGGCATGGTAAGGGTTAGCTAAATAAAAAACTTGGTACTGTTTGGGAAAGATTGTGGTTATGGTTAATAAAAACGCAAACAAACTGCAGTCTGCTGTATTAAGATCAGATGTGCTGCATGCCCATTCACTTCATTCATTCTTTGATCATGACTCTGCACACTACTTCCTGCATTCTTACTGAGTGCTGGCACTGGATATACATTTATTTATTTAATGTTTATTTGTATTGGGGAAGTCCTGTATGAACCTATGCCACCACCATTTATAACCTGAAGTAATTTGCAATGCCTATCCCCAAATAGGCCTTGAAAAAACAAAACAATAACTCAACAATAAAATAAATACAAATTAGCACAAAACACCAACAATAGCACATAAAAGTGACCGCAAAACTAGTTATGATCCATTTCAAGTTCTTAAGTTTAAATTCTGATATGTGGAATCGTCCAAGTTTGGATGTAATTCCTATGGGGACACTCGTTTGAGGTTAAAGAGGCAGGCTTGTAGTAGGTTTGATTCCCTCCCTTATATTTACCGCTGAGGGGCACTTGAGCACAGCACTTAACCCACAACTGTACTCAGAGGCCAACAGATCACAATGTGGTAGCACAGAGCATAATTAAATTTATTTCATGCTGTGATCAGATTTAGAAGATTTCTGACAGTAGGCCCGTTCATGTGCTGACAGTATTGTCTGCATCAGTGGGATGCTAAAATAAAAAAGGATAGATGTCTTTCAGATGGGAGGTGTCAGTCAGGTTCTTTGTTTGTTTACAATTATCATGATCCAAATCCAAACAGATAATAACTGATATTCCAGGAGAAAGACAAGGTGTGGAGCAGAGGGCTTAAAACTGGAGCAGTTACATTAACAATGAATAAAGTGAAATATACAATATATATATTATATATAACCACCCTTGAGCTGGTCTGGACAAGGGGATAAACTATGGTTTCTAAACTGACCCCTGACACTTGATAACTAAACATAACTCAGGGATCCTAAGCTCTGCTTCACTCTACTCTAACAAATGCCATAGTATCCTTAATGCCATATGTGCCAGTTGGCAGTACCAGGATAAAGCTCTAGTTAAACCCAGATGGCAGCACTGGGACTCTCCAAGATTGACTGAGTTTAACAACAGTCTGTGAGAAAACAGGAAGCTGGCCAGCCAGTCACTCTGTGAATCAAGAAGTCATCTCCCTCTCTCTCTCAGTTTCCTGGGTCACCTTAAGGATCATCCAAAGTTGATAAAACACTAACTTCAACATTATGTCGTTTGAGTTTTCCCTTCCAGGGATGACACTTCCTTAGACTGAATTTGAAAAACCAAAACCAAAGTCCTGTTTAACAGCTGAGACTGTGTTAACATATATCAAATAACATATCAAACAATAAAGTGGTAAACACTTTGAAAATGGATGGCAGCACAAACCAAAATTATTTGTTGAAAGCATAGAAAGTGGAATCTTTTCAAGGCTTGTGAATGGTGTTTTAGTACACAATCGTGTATAGCCTGGGACGATGCAAGTTTGTTATTGATTGGCTAATTTATTTTAGACTGATCAAGAGTTGTTACAGTGACATAGTAAAATGTTGAGGGACCCTTAAATATTTGTTATTTTAAATTGTGTTTTTTCTACATGCAGCTTGCACTCTTGCATTTGTCCTGTTTGATTACAGTGATATATTACATTACACTGTTTTATAAAAGCAGTGAGCCACAAGAGGCCAGGTGGTTTAAAATCAATATGAAGAGGGCTTTACTGAGCTTTGTGTTGTTTATGACTGACTGCTGCATGTGGTTTTTTTTTTTTTTTGGATATATAGAACAAACCCAAATGTTATCGCAAAAATAATAATTGCTCTTATTGATTACTTCAGGAAGAAAATTATTGTTCTGCATTTTTTATTTATTGATCAATTCAAACATAAGTTTTCAAGAATTACTGACTGTGGAAACGTGCATGCATAATTTTTTGCATATTCCTACTTCTTCAGGCTGTGAGAATACTGTGCATTTAATGTACAAGCATTATTTTCTTATTCTTCTTTCAGAGGGGCAGAAACTCATAAAATGTAAATACTTTAAGACTAACAACCCTCATAACAGCCTAGCTGTCAAGTAACTCAAATGAGAAGTTATCAAATTTAAACACAATAAATAAGAAACAGTACATTTTACACTCTGTGTAACACTTTGGTGGGCCAAACTCATTTTATGAGAGCCAGGTTTTGCCCACAGGTCCTATTTCAGGCGACTCGGACTGAGCTGATTTTGCCCACAGGTCCTATTTTGGGCAGCTCTGGTTTAGAGAGCCAAGCATGGATCTGCCATGGAACATAGGTTGCACTGCTGTATATTTAGAAAGCTCGCCTATTTTGGGTGTCACATTGCAGCTCCCTCTCAACTCCTCATACCTATTCTGTTAGTGTTAGCTGTAAATACAACAATGATGCACATAATATCACAATTGCAGGATTCCCAGCTCTGCACATACTGTACAATAATAGAAATTACCACAGAGATGTCAGGTAAAAGTGCAAACTGGCCAAACACGTGTATACTATGACATACTCGCATGTATGTCATAG